TTTGTTCATTCTGGTTGTCTAAGGCAACAAGCTTTTGCTGTAGTTCAGTGTCCAGTTTTTCAGATTTTTCTTCTTGATGTTGTAACTTGTTTCTGTTCTTGTTTATGTTTTTTGTCATCTTTTCAAATCTTAATTTTTGATCTTTTACATGTCTTATTGATTTCCTTTCAATCGGAAATAAATCCTCTGATGTTTCTACATTTGTTTCTTGTTCATCTTTTTTACCTTCAGTTCTTTCTTCCACTTCCTGTTGACTGACCACATATTCATGCTTTCCTTTTTTTAGTATTTCTTCACCTTGAATAGTTTTTTTCATGTTTTGTTCTCCTTGTTTTAACATTTTGTTAATGTCTCTTTTAAGTATCATTTTCATTGAACTCATTCCTTTTTTAATTTTCTTGTTTTCAGCTATTAATATTTCAAGTTCTTCTTTGTGTTTCTTTAAAATTGTCCTCTCTTTTTCCATTATTTGCACAAATTCTTTCCTGACTCTTTCTACGTTCACCATCATTTTCAGTCTTGCATTCATAAATTTAGTAAGAGACTCTTTTTCATCTAAACCTATGTGCACTTCTTCGCCTCTGTCTTTGTGTTCTTTCTCAGCTCCTTTTCCTAATTGAAGATTTTTGTTCATATCAGTGTAAATGCGTTCAAGTGTTTCCTCGTCGATGATATCTTCAACTTGCTTCTCGTTGAGTTGTTTCTGTTTCAGTATCAACATTTCCAATTCATCTTTCTCTTTTCTGATTGTCTCTAGTTTTATATCCAAGTCTCTTCCCTTCTTTTTTGCCTCTCTTTTCAGGGATTTTGTTGCCTGTTTTATTTCAGTCAGCATTTTTTCGTTTTCTGTCTTTTCCCTTTTTATTTTTCTTAAAATGTGTTCACTTTCTTTTTTCCTAACTTGCACCTCTGACTTTAGCAACTCCAGTTCATGTATTTGGTTTTTAGTGAGCTGCAGAGTGCCAGTAAGCTCCTGTTGTTGTCTTTCAATTGTCTCTCTTAATTGGTTTGTTTGATCTTCGTCTTTTATGGTTCTTTGGTTGGATTCCCTCACATCCTCACCCGCTGCTTCAGTGTCTAGTGTCGGTACTTCAGTCACTTTTCTTTTTGTCTTTTCTTTCATATTTCCACTTCTTGCCAGTTTTTCTTGCTCATCACTCTTTGTCTTTTCAAAATCTTCCATTGACAGTTTTTTAATGTTTTTTAGTTTATCCTCATATGGTATGATTGTTAAGATTTCATTTTCTGTTATTTCAAATTTTATTTTCTTTTTCTTTGATTTTTCTTTTTCTGTTTTAGTTTTAATTTTGTCATATTTTTTTACATTTGTCTTGGCCCCTTCAGATGCAGAGTGTTTTTTCTTTTTCTGCCTAATGTCATTTTTGAAAATTTCAAACTTAGCCTTAGCATGTGATCTTAAAAGATGGATGTTTTCCAGATGTTGTTTTGAAGCATCAATCTTCTTCTTTAGGTCTTTTATCAGTTGTAGCTTTACTTCAGTGTCCCCAATATTGTTCTCTGTTTTTTCCTGTTTGTCTTTGGCTTTCACAGCTATTTTTTCCAAGTTACCTCTGCACTTGGATACGTTTTTTAGCTTCTGCTGCATATCTTCTAACTGTTGTTGCAGTTTTACTTTTAGGATTTCTAATTCATCTCTTTCTCTTAACGTTTTGTCTAATCTGTAATCTAGTTCTCTCCTTCTTTTGTTCATTGCAATTTTCCAAGTGCTTGAATTTTCTTTTAAATGAATTTTGTTATGCATCATTGCAGTTTTGAATGTTTTTAAAAGCTCTTGAAATTCTTTCATGTTTTGCAATAGTCCTGCAGTTTCACCATCTGCATTGTTCTGATCTTTGTGAATGCTGTATTTTTCCTCTTGGTACCCGAATTCCAGTTTAATCATTTTAATGATTTCTTGTATTTTAATAATTTCTGCCTTGAATCTTATTAATTCAGTGCTTCTAGGCTCTTTAACATCGATACATGCATCTGTCTCCCTGGTAAGTGCCTCTGGATCTATTGTGTTTTTGCTTTGCTTTTGCTTCTCAGTGTTCAGGCTCATCCAGTCAGATAGTTTTTCTATATTAGCACTAGTTTCCTCGTCTTGCATTTCATTGCATGTCATTTGCATTGTTCTTTGTCTGAACACATTTGTGCTCTCCATCAAAAGATGTTGTGGTGTTTCTCTGATCAGTTTAGTGCTTTTTCCCACTACAGTTCCCATTTCTTTGTCTTTAATTTCAGTGTCTGGTCTCTGACACTGCAGTTCTATTTCTGTAATGATCCTTTTCATCTCTTGACTTTTTTCTTTAACATTCTTTATAGTGTCTTTTATTTGCACTTTAATGCCATCTTCTTGTGCTTTTAGTTGATTTAACTGTTTTTCCATTTCATTTCTTTCACTTGCATTTGTCAATGATTTTGTTTGATCACTATTTATGTCATTTGCTAACTTTATTTGTTCAATCAGATTTTTGTTTTGTAACGCCATTAAGCCTTGCAAAGACGGGTCTTCTTGTGTATGTTTTTTTTCTGTCTTGTCCTTTACATTTTTTGACGTTTTATTTTTCTGTGAGCTTGCAGGACTTTCTTTCAGATGTTCTTGAAGTGTGCTTACTGACAACTTTTTCATTGCTGTAGGGTGTGTCAAAATCCATTTGTTCATCTGATTCTTCACAGATGACAACTTGTCCTACACAAAAGACAGACAAACAACAAGCCAGAACAAAATCATATTATACCTTATAATAAAATGTGAAAAGCTCCATATGTGGTCTCCACTCAAGGAACCTGTAAAAAAGCAGGTTTTGACAGAACCCTTTAAAAAATGGACTAGTTTTAAACAAATATTGCTAAATGTGGTTTCAACATTTTCCACTAGGTAGAATTTATGCATTTTTATTTCTGTATGTTTTACATAATCTTCAATCAGCACAAGTGTGTGTGTGTGTGTGTGTGTGTGTGTGTGTGTGTGTGTGTGCGTGTTTGTGTGTATACCATACCACTTTATTTGTTAAGCACTTAAAAACAGCAACAAGGCCGACCAAGGTGTTGTATAATTTTTTGCCGTTATTATTTGCATTTATTTTATATAATAGTTTGCATATGCATACATATCTTGATGCATGCTCAATAATCCAGGTAGAAAAATCCAAAAAAGTTCAATCTGGTCCTCTGGACATTCAAAAAAACAAAAGCAAAACGAAGCAAAAAAAATTCTAGAAACGTTTCGTCTCTCATCCAAGAGACTTCCTCAGTCTGAGGTGCTGTATTCAGCTCAGTCTCTTAAATAGCACCTTCTCAGAGTGGATCAACCAGTTTGCTGCTGACAACCAAAACCAGCTGATCACATGCTCAAGAAGGACCATCAGCCTAACAATGGATCATTAGCACCTGATGGCTGTTTACTGTTCACAGAGGGCTGAGTGATACTAGCAATCACAGCATTGTAAGAGGGGGACAGTTGAACCCGGAGGCCTCCACCCCTGTTTAATGATGGACGATTTTTGAATCTGAATCTGAATTTTGGCCAGTGGCTGTTTAGTTTCCCCGATGTAAGACTGATCACAGCCCTCCTAACACTGAACAGCATACACAACATTGCTCTGTTTGTGCCGGGGGACTGGATCTTTGGGATGAACCAGTCTTTGCCGTAATGTATTTTGGGGTTTAAAAGCCACTGGGACGTTATGTTTAGAAAATAAACGTCTCAGTTTCTCTGATACCCCCTCAACATACGGAATGACCACTGGTCTGGGTCTGGGTTCCTCCTTTTCACCTGATGGCTGACTGGAGTCCTGTTTGGGTTTCTTCTCTGCTTTCAGGAAGGCCCAGTTAGGATATCCACATTGCTCTAGAGCCTGTTTTGTGTAGGATTTCTCCTTCTGCCTGGCTCCCGAGCTAGTGGGGACGCTGTCTGCTCTGTGATACAGAGTCCTGATGACTCCTAACTTGTGCTCCAAAGGGTGATGGGAGTCAAACTGCAAATACTGGTCTGTGTGGGTGGGTTTGCGGTACACCTCGGTTTGCAAATGTCCTCTATCCGAGACTGAGACCTCACAGTCCAAGAAAGCCAACTTGCCATTTTTTACATCTTCTCGTGTGAACTTGATGTATTTATCCACAGAGTTGATGTGGTCAGTAAAATGTTGGACTTCCTGAGATTTAATTTTAACCCAGGCGTCGTCAACATACCTGAACCAATGACTTGGTGGTGTCCCTGAAAAGGACGTCAAGGCTCTCTTTTCTACCTCCTCCATGTACAGGTTGGCAACAATAATTATTAATGTTAGACTAAGCTACTACCTTGTAAGAACAATAAGAATTTGTAAACCTAATTTTTGTAGGATATAATTTTAGTTGTAGATACTTATAATGCAATGATAAAGTACAATACTACGGTACTTTTCGGACTGTAAGTTTCATCTTTTTGCATAAATTAGCAAGTCCTGCAACTTATAGTCCGAAGCAACTAATTTACCTTTTTTCCCATATATATAAACCAGCCACCAGGGAGCACAAGCCAGTGTATCTCTTGTGCCGGCCCAAGCCCAGGTAAATGGTGAGGGTTGTGTCAGGAATGGCATACGATGTAAAACACTTTTGCCTAAACCATAATGTGAGTTATTCAAAGCGAAACCATACCGGATCGGTCGAGGCCCGGGTTAACAACGACCGCCACCGGTGGTGCTGACAAACAGGGTGCCAGCGGAAATTGTGCTACTGTTAGTCTAAGACCACGAGGAGGGAAACATGTCAGGAGACAGAGGGTGAAGAGGAAAGTGAAGAATATAGGACTGAGGGTTGCAACTCTAAATGTGGGGACAATGACAGGCAAATGTAAAGAACTGGCTGACATGATACAGAGAAGGAAGGTAGATGTTTTATGTGTCCAAGAGACCAAGTGAAAGGGCAGCAAGGCCCGCAGCATTGGAGCAGGGTTCAAACTGTTTTACCATGGTGTGGATATTAAGAGAAATGGAGTAGGGGTGGTCCTGAAGGAGGAGTTGGAAAAGAATGTAGTAGAGTTGAAGAGAGTGTCAGATAGGGTGATGTGCCTGAAGGTAGAAGTAGAAGGTCTGATGCTAAACATCGTCTGTGGTTATGCTCCACAGGTTGGATGTGATGGGGAGGAGAAAGATACATTTTGGAAAGATCTGGATGAAGTGATAGAGAGTATTCCCAGGGAGGAGAGAGTGATGATCGGAGGAGACCTGAATGGACATGTTGGTGAAGGAAACAGAGGGGATGAGGAAGTGATGGGTAGGTTTGGTGTCAAGGAAAGAAACCAGGAAGGACAGATGGTGGTGGATTTTGCCAAGAGAATGGAAATGGCTATAGTCAATACATATTTCCAAAAGAGGGAGGAACATAGAGTGACCTATAAGAGTGGAGGAAGGAGTACGCAGGTCGACTGCATTCTTTGTAGAAGAGGAGACCTGAGGAAGATTGGAGACTGTAAGGTTGTGGCAGGGGAGAGTGTGGCCAGACAGCATTGGATGGTTGTGTGTAGAATGACTGTTGTTGTGAAGAAGAGAAAAATAATAAAATCAGAGAAGACCAAATGTGGAAGCTGAAGAAGGAAGAATACCATACCATACCATACCAATTTATTTATATAGCACTTTAAACAGTGACAAAGCACACCAAAGTGCTGTACAGGGACAAACAGAACAAGTACACAGCAACAGATTACATAACAGGACACCAAAAACGTAGAAACCAACAAAAACAGTAATGGATAACAACAACAACTGCAACATGTTGTGAGAAATTCAGAGAGGAGCTGTTAAAGGCTCTGGGTGGTAAGAAAGAGCTTCCAAATGACTGGACTACTACAGCAACAGTATTAGAGAGACAGGTAGGAATGTACTTGATGTGTCATCTGGACAGAGAATGGATGATAAGGAAACCTGGTGGTGGAATAGTGAAGTGCAGGAAGCTGTTCAAAGAAAGAGATTAGCCAAGAAGAAATATGACAGTGAGAGGACTGAAGAGAGGAGACAGGAATGTCAGGAGATGGGACGTTGAGCAAAGAGGGAAGTAACTAAGGCAAAGCAGAAGGTGTATGATGAGTTGTATGGGAGACTGAACACTAAAGAGAGCGAGAAGGACTTGTACCGATTGGCAAGACAGAGGGATCAGACTGGAAAGGATGTGCAGCAGGTTAGGCTTATTAAAGATAGGAATGGTAATGTTCTAACAAGTGAGGAGAGTGTGACTGAAAGATGGAAGGAGTACTTTGAGGAGCTAATGAATGAAGAGAATGAAAGAGAATGAAGAGTAGAGGTCATGGAAACTGTAGACCAGGAAGTAGGAAAGATTAGTGAGGGTGAAATCCGGAAAGCTCTGAAAAGAATGAAGAAGGGAAGGCAGTAGGACCTGATGACATACCAGTGGAGGTTTGGAAATATCTTGGAGAGATGGCAGTGAGGTTTTTGACTCAAATATTCAATGGTATATACGAGGGTGAGAAAATGCCTGAGGAAAGGAGAAGAAGTGTGCTAGTGCCCATTTTTAAGAACAAGGGGGATGTACAAAGTTGTAGCAACTGCAGGGGAATTAAGTTGATGAGCCACACGATGAAGATCTGGGAGAGAGTTGTAGAAGCAAGACTTAAATGAGAGGTGACTATCTGTGAGCAGCAGGATGGTTTCATACCAAGAAAGAGTACCACAGATGCCATCTTGGCTTTGAGAATGCTGATGGATAAGTACAGAGAGGGTCAGAAAGAACTCCATTGTGTCTTTGTGGATATAGAATAAGCATCTGACAGAGTGCCAAGAGAGGAGGTGTGGTACTCCATGAGGAAATCTGGAGTGGCAGAAAAATATGTTAGACTGGTACAGGACATGTGTGAGGACAACAGGACAGTGGTGAGATGTGCTGTAGGAGTGACAGATAGCTTCAAGGTGGAGGTGGGATTGCATCAAGGATCAGCTCTGAGCCCCTTCTTGTTTGCTCTGGTGATGGACCGACTAACAGATGAGATCAGGCAGGAATCCCCGTGGACTATGATGTTTGCAGATGACATTGTGATCTGTGGTGAGAACAGGGAACAGGTGGAAGAGAACTTGGAGAGGTAGAAGTATGCACTTGAAAGAAGAGGAATGAAAGTCAGCCGTAGTAAGACACAGTACATGTGTGTGAATGAGAGGGAGGTCAGTGGAACAGTGAGGCTACAAGGAGCAGAGGTCACAAAGGTGCAGGACTTCAAGTACTTGGGATCCATTGTCCAGGAAAATGGGAAATGTGGTAAAGAGGTGAAGAAGCAAGTCCAGGCAGGATGGAATGGATGGAGAAAAGATTCAGGGGTGATTTTTGACAAAAATGTGTCAGCAAAGGTCAAAGGAAAAGTTTACAAGACAGTGGTGAGACCAACTATATTGTATGGTCTGGAGACAGAGACATGGACAAAAAGACAGGAGAAAGAATTGGACGTGGCAGAAATGAAGATGTTGAGGTTCTCCTTAGGAGTGACAAGGATGGATAAGATTAGGAATGAGATCATTAGAGGTACAGCACATGCTGAATAACTGGAAGATAAAGTTAGGGAGGCCAGACTGAGATGGTTTGGACATGTCAAGAGGAGGGACCGTGGGTAGTTGGAGTGAGGACAGAGGATACAGAGGACAGAGTGAAGTGGAGGAGGATGACTCGCTGTGGCAACCCCTTAAGAGGGAAAAGCCGAAAGAAAAAGAAAGAAGAAGCAAGTCCTGCAACTTATAGTCCGAAGCAACTAATTTACCTTTTTTCCCAGAGTTATAACCCAATTTTTGACTGAGATCTGACAATTTCATTCATTCTGACATGGAAAATATTGAACACTTCCATTTTCAGCCGCTAGAGGGCCCTCGAGCATTATGGCCAGCCAAATGTTTCATTAATAGATAAAAGTGGCTATTAATGAGACACTTGGCTTGCCATACCAAAGCCATCTATCAGGAGTTTCAGGCAGGGCAGGACAGGAAAGAACCCAATGGTACAGGCAGAAATTGGAGGCCAGATCATAAAATAATAAACACTTTCATAATCAAAATAATAGGCTGACGTGGCAGCAAAACTTGTAAGACAGGATCAGGTCAGGATTATACAAGGAACACAAGAGACAAACCAGGAGGTGTACCAGACGATGGACCGACAGTCACAGAGACACAGACCAGGGCTTATGTACACAGACTAGACGAGACATAATTACAAACACCTGGAGGACATGCGGTTGGAACTAATCAGGGCAATTAAGGAGAGACACTAGGGGAGTACAGACACAGGGAGACTGACAGAGGAATTACATCCTTACAGTACCCTCCCCCCAAGGACGCCCCCTGGTGTCCCAAAAAAATCCACCCCAAAAGACTTGGACGAGAGAAGGGAGGTACTGCAAGGATTGAGGGCACAAGGAAAACGAGGACAAACAAAAACCAGCAGGACAAAAGCCTGAGATGTAAACTAAACACAACTAGGGAACACAAAAATGTCTGTATTGTCAGGAGACCATCCCTAGGCTGGTTACAGTTCAGGGTGGGCGGCCAGGAGACTGTCCAACATGGGGCCAAAGTTCAGGCGGGTGGCTGGGAGGCCGTCCAAAGTTCCGGAGCAGGTCAGACGAGCGGCCGGGGGGCCATCCAAAATGCCAGAGCAGGACAGGCAAGGAGCCAAGACAGGGTGAGGAACATGGACAAGATGAAGGACCAAGGCGAGGTGAAGGACCAAGACGAGGCGAGGGACTAAGGCGGTGTGAAGGACCAAGGCAATGCAAAGGACTGCTAGATATTTATCTAGACTGGTCCTGGGGTTTTTGATCTGCTCAGAGATGAGATTATAATGAAATTATAACCCGGTTCTGACTGGGTTAAACTGGGCCAGCAACTCTAAAAGAGTCTCCCAGGGATTCAATATCCGTCAAAAAATAGAGTTTATTTCTGCTTGCTATATCATGTAGGAAGGCTTTTGAAGCACCTTCTCATATTTCCTTACACGTCAAATCACATAAGATCAATTGGGATCACACTTAGTCACGCCCCCTCATACGCGTGACAGGTTGTGCTCCCCTTCTGCGAAGGAGGAGTCTAGGCCCTTTGTATAAATCAGTAATGACACGGGACATCAGCCCCTTCCGGTTTGTGATTGCGTCAAACTGTATTGGAGAGGCCAGCGCTGTAAACTGTAACCTTTTCCTGCCTTGATTTTAATACAACTGGTAAAACTGAATTAATGTTTCCTTGATTTATTATAGTGTGAGTTGCCACTTCTGAGGGAGGTTTGAGCCGGGGAACAGCGTGGGCTGGAGATGGATCTTGGGTCCAAGAGGAAGCCTAAGGCCCACAACTAGCAGCAGCTAGTTGCAGTGACCGGTGACCCGCAGTAAGCTCACGTTGTAACAG